ACAGTGTAGGCCACATGCAAGGCATCTGTTTTAACAGAATCATCTCTGTGTCTAATTTTAGGTCATAACAAAGTCCTGTTAGACAATCAGAATTGGAAGATATCTACCTGGTTTTAACTGCAAAGATGGGGAATGCTAATAATAATAAAGGTTTGGGAAGATAGACCAAGAGTTCTGTTAGCTACATATTAAGTTTGAGATGGCTATAAGATAGTCATGGGCTGGAGCGATAGCACAGTGGTAGGGTGTTTGCCTTGCATGCAGCCAACATGGCTGACCCGAGTTCGATTCCTCCGCCCCTCTTGGAGAGCCCGGCAAGCTACCGAGAGTATCTCGCCCGCACGGCAGAGCCTGGCAAGCTCCCCGTGACGTATTCGATATGCCAAACACAGTAACAACAAAGTCTCCAATGGAGACGTTACTGGGCCCGCTCGAGTAAATCGATGATCAACGGGAGGGCCTTTACCTTACTTTACTTATAAGATAGTCAAGAGGAAATGTCAAATAAGTAGGTGGATATAAAAGCCTTGAAAATCATGAACATATCATTATTTAAAACCGTACAATTAGACGAGATTACTTAGGAAAAGATAGATTAGGGCTGGAGAAATAGTTCAGTGGGCTGCATTGCATGCATTGCATGCAGAAGGTCTAAGCTCAATACTTTGAACCACATGGACCCTGAGCATTGCCAGAAGTAACCCCTGAGCACTACATGGTATGACTCCAAAACAAGCAAACCAAAAAAAAAAAAAAAATGAAGGTCAGAAGACATAAATTAATGGCCCACTGACCCATCTGCTGACCAAGAAACATGCATTATTACTATTGGTTCTAAATATTTAAAAACTTGGGCAAAAAAATTTAAATTAGTACACTTCCCCTTTCTTCTGTTTTTTTTTCTGCTGATTTTTTTGTTTTTGTTTTTGTTTTGGGGTCATACCTGGTGGTGTGTGGGGGACACTTCTGGATTAGTTCTCTGGGTCATCCTTAGCAGAGTGTGGGGGACTAGGGATCAAATCTGGGCATGCTGCATGCAAACATGTGTTTAGCCTATTGAAATTGACATCTCCACCCCTTTTTTCATCCCTTTTTTCAGTTTGGGGGGGGCAATACTCTGTGGTTTTCAAGGCTTACCCTGACTCCGCGCTCAAAGACCACTCCTGGCAAGGATTTAGGGGACCATATGTGGTGCCAGGAATCAAATCTGGGTCAGCAACATGTTGTACTATTGCTCTGGCCTGAGTTTCCATTTTGAAAAGTTGAAGACAATCTGACAGCACTAGACCTGAGCTATATAGCAGTTTCTTTGTTCATATGAGTTATGAGTTCTTTAATTCACTATAATTTCTCTCAATACTAAAGCCAATTATCATTGAACATAGTATCTGCATACCACTTTTTCTAAAAATTATTTCTCAGAACATATGTTTCTGTCAAAACTAGAAATGGAAGACTGGTGATAGAGGCCTTCTGCTTGAACAAATGAAAATAGAAGGGAGTATATTTTTTTAAAGAAATTTATGACTATTCTAATGGTCTAGATGAAAAAGACTGAAATAGCAATGCTGGAAAGGGATGGAGAAAAGATAATCACCAATACCACTGAATTCAAATTGGTGTGACCATTATGGAAACAGTAGCACTGCACTGTAGCACTATCCTCCCAATTTGCTCAAGCGGGCACCAGTAACGTACCCATTGTGAGACTTGTTGTTACTGTTTTTGGCATATGGAATATGCCACAGGGAGCTTACCAGGTTCTGTCATTTGGGCAGGATACTCTTGGTAGCTTGCTGGTCTCTCTGAGAGGGACGAAGAAATCGAACCTGGGTTGGCTGCATGCAAGGCAAACGCCCTACCCACTGAGCTATCGCTCCAGCCCATGGAAACAGTATGAATATTTTTTCAAATGTTTTTTCAAAAACTTAAAGAGAGCAGGTAGTGCACTTGTCTTGCATATGGCCAACCCAGGTTTGATCCCAAACAATCCCTGAAGCCTACCAGGACTAATTCCTGATTGCAGGAGTAAGCCCTGAGTAGACTGGGGTGTCGCCCCACACCAAAACAAAACTGAAAACTCTTACATGATCCTATAATTCTATTTCTGAAACAAAAACACAAACTTGAAAAGAGATATGCACCCCTATATTTATCACAGTGCTATCTATAACCAAAATCCAGATGCATGCTAAGTTGCCCATCAATGGATGAGAAAAATATAGATGAACAGATACAGATCAACAACTAAGAGACCTGAAGGTATTATGCTAAGTAAAAGTCAGTCAAACAGAGAAAGGCAAATACCATATGATCTTATTTATAGGGAGTCCTGTCCTGTTCTGTCCTTCCGTTGTTCATTAATTTGCTCGAGCGGGCCCAGTAACATCTCCATTATAAGACTTGTTGTTACTGTCTTTGGATATCGAATACATCACGGGGAGCTTGCCAGGCTTTGCCGTGCGGGCATTTATAGAGAGAATCTTAAAAAAACAAAAAACCAAAATCTCATGGATATGAAAAAACTGGTGGTTCCCAGAAGTAAGGGTGGATAAGATAAATGAAGGTGGTTACTGTATCACTGTCATTCCGTTGTTCATCGATTTCCTCGAGCAGCCACCAGTAACGTCTCCATTCGTCCTAGACCTGAGATTTTAGCAAGTGCCACATTGGAGACTCTCTCAGGGTCAGGGGAATGAAACTCATCATTGTTACCAGGTTTTGACATATCGAATATGCCACAGGGAGCTTGCCAGACTCTGCCGTGCCGGCAGGATACTCTCAGTAGACGGCCGGGTTTTCTGAGAGCGAGAAATAGACAAAATCCAAAATCTCATGGATACTGAGAAAACTGGAGGTTCCCAGAAGTAAGGGTGGATCAGATAAATGAAGGTAGTCAAAAGGTTTAAACTTACAGTTATGAAATTAAGTGCTAAGGGTGTAATAATAACTATGGTTACTACTGAATTATGTGTTTGAAAGTTGTCTGAGAGAAAAATCTCAACTTCTCACCAGAAGCCTGGAGACATGACTCAGGAGGTACAAGCACCCACCCTACAGTCCTGAGGCCATGATTATAACCCTGGCATGGTTCCACATGCTGAGTATGATCCTGGAGGCACTGATGTTGCATAACCGGAGTGTACAATATTCAAGAGTACTGCAATCAGGCGTGTGCAGACTCCACAACCCCGTGTACAACTCACAGAATACCAAGAGTGAGAGCATAGCAACCAACATGTGCAATTCCAGGTTATCACAACAACATAGCAACAAAAGGAAGGGAAAGGAGAAAACTATGGTTCTCAATCAAATATTGACACATTATTTTAAATAACTGAGACTAATGTATGCTATATGTTAATAATCTCTCTTAAGATAAAAAATAAATATACAAGTCTTTAAAAGTCAGTCCTAAATTGCAGATAATGACTGTACATAATCGATTTATATTAACTGTCTGGGTCTACAGGCATTCGAGTTTAAAGTCCTTGAGTAGGGCTGGAGCAACAGGACAGCGGGTAGGGTGTTTGCCTTGCACGTGGCCGACCTGGGTTCAATTCCCAGCATCCCATACGGTCCCCCGAGCACCGCCAGGAGTAATTCCTGAGTGCATGAGCCAGGAGTAACCCCTGTGCATTGCCAGGTGTGACCCAAAAAGCAACAACAACAACAACAAAAGTCCTTGAGTAAATACAGAAGAGACAAGGGAAATGAGGAAAGAGGGAAAGACAGTAAGACAGGAAAGAGGATTGTGAGGGCGTGAAAACTAAGAAGAAAATGTTCTATTAGAACAGTGCAGCACTTTTGAGAGGTAAAACAGAACTTCAACTTTTTCCACTCATGACCCCATTTTGCCCAAGAAATGTGATATGGGTACGTGCTACCCGAAAGACCTGGGTTTGAAAGTTACATGGTTTATTTTGAATTAATTTTCATCCTTGAATATTCAGAAACCTTTTCACTGTTGCCAATTTATTTTGAGACGCCCCCCTGCCACATCTAGATAATCAGCCACGTATGTGGTTGAGACTCTACAGTTCAAACTAGAGGATAGAATAATGAGTTCAATAAGTAACTATTGGGTCAAAGAGAGTTCAAAACTCCGTTATTAAAAGCTTTTTACATCACATGCCTGAAATGAAGCAAAATTAACAAGATGACCTCATCAAGAAAGAAACTGTGGTCTATACACTCAATGGAATACCACTCTGACATTAAAAAAGATGAAATCATGCCCTTTGGAATAAAAATGAACAAATCTTGAGGAGATTATGCAAGTGAATAGGGAAGTAAAAAACAATTGCAGGATGGTTTCACTCTTATGTGCAATATGAATAACTGAAGCAAATATATTGGCACAGAACAACAAAACTCCTAGAATCAATAAATAACCATGGTGGTGACCAGAGAAAAGGGGACGGGAGTATGGGAGGCAAAAGCTGAGGGGTAGTTTTGGTGGGATAGTGAGAATTATACACATGTATAAAGCTAAAGCCCTCAAATGCTGTAATATTGTAAAGCGAAGTTAATCCAATAAAAACAGAAAAGAAAGAAAATGCCACATGCAGAACTTGAGTAGATTCTAATAAAATTTTCAAGGGAAAAAAAATGACAGTGAGTATAAGCTCTCCCCTGTACTGAAAAGAAGCAGTTTCCTTGTTGTTGTTGTTGTTATTTTGGGGGGCCGACATCCAGCGATGCTTAGGCTTACTCCTGGCTCTTCACCCTCTCAGGAATTACTCCTGGCGGTACTTGGGGGACCATATGGGATGCCAGGGATGCAAACCCAGGCTGGCTGTGTGCAAAACAAGTGCCTACGGGATGTACTATCTCTGTGGTACCAAGAGAAACAGTTTCTCTTTCTGTTAAAATCTGTTTGCAAGCAAGTTGGAAATAAGTAATTCTCCTTCAAGCTTTTGGCTCTCCTTGTTCTCCACCAGGCCCTACCTGGAAAAGCAGCAGAGACGCATTGATTTTATTTTGGCGTTCTCACTTACCCACTCACAGTCAATTCCAAGCACTGGAAAATTCTCTAACTCACTCCTAAGCAAGGGCTCAACTTGCTCCCACTCTGCGTTTTCGGCCACTGTCACCACCTCTGCTTCCAGGATCTTCTGTTCCCACAGGACCCCGGGGGCCCCGGAGCGCAACTGCGGCTCTTCCTGCTGGGGAAGCACTCTCCCATCTGCTGTCTTCTGCTGCTTGGGGGTGACAAGGCTGGTTTTACTCCTCCGGCGCTGGATGCCTTTCCACAGGACAAAGCCCCCAACAGCCACGCCCACAAAGGCAGTCACTGTCAATGCCGTTAGGTGCTGTTTAGACATCTTGGATCGTTCTGCGGTTTAGGAAAGCATAGCACTGATCCTACATCTGCAAAACAAATGACAAGGATATATACAGGACACCAACCTTTGGGGAAACAAGCTTTCAAAACAACAATTACCATTTACATCTATGTGCCCACAAACTGAAATAACTGCCATATGAAATAGTTACAGAGAGAGAGAGAGAGAGAGAGAGAGAGAGAGAGAGAGAGAGAGAGAGAGAGAGAATGATACTCTATCTCCACTCTCAACCAAGAACAGTTCCATCATCTTCCACATGCTGGCCAGGGTTCTCTTCATCACATTAAATCACATCAATGAAACAATACACCCGCCTTCCACTCTCCCACTCTACTTGCTGATGCTTTACTGAGTAAATTTTAACTAATGGAACTCCCTCAAGGTGTTTGCCCATTCAGCCTTCGCTCTCTCAAATTGAATGAAAATTATTTTTCAATAAAAATGTAACCATTAGCACCTTGGTGGGAGACCTTGCTTTTCTAGATGGTGAGGGCGGTGGGTGGCAGAGCAAAATGCAGGACTCAACCCCACGATTTTGGGAAACTCAGCACTTTTAAGGGCACGTTCAGGTGGTAAAAAAAAAAAAGGCAGATGGGACTGTCACTGTTACTATCCTCCCGTTGTTCATCGATTTGCTCGAGCGGGCCCAGTAACATCTCCATTTTGAGACTTGTTGTTACTGTGTTTGGCATATCGAATACGTCACGGGTAGCTTGCCAGGCTCTGCCGTGCGGGCGAGATATTCTCAGTAGCTTGCCAGGCTCTCCGAGAGGGGCAGAGGAATCGAACTCGAGTCGGCCATGTTGGCTGCGTCCAAGGCAAACGTCCTACCACTGTGCTATCGCTCCAGCCCAGATGGGACTAAGATGAAGGAAAGGATGCAACATAGAGAGATGGAAGGCACTCAGAAGACACTGTATTTGGAACAGAAGGCAAGTGTGCAAGCCAGTGGGCCCAAATCTCTCTCTTCTATTTCATTTTGTTTGTTCAGCCCAATGATTCTTGTTCTTTGACAACAATCTGCATTTTTAACTTCATGGTCCCCCCACTTCCACCCCCTTTGTGTGTCGTTACCATCAAAGCCTTCGTTGGGCTGACTGGGGTCTCACACCTGTGACAACTGCACGTATCAGATATGATGTGTGCCTGTGTGCCAACAGGGGGACTCTTCTAGCTGTGCTTTCATGTGTGCTTGCTGGAGACACACTTGTTTGATTTGGTATGGCTTGGTTTTGAGCCACATCTGGCTCTGCTCAGGACTTACTCCTGGTTCTGTGTTCAGGGATTACTAGTGCTGGCAATTAAACTCCTTGCGATAGCACAGATTTGGAGATGACCGCTGGACTAGAGCCATTACCAACTGGATTCCACGGGACGTCAAAAGATCGCGTGGCCGTCCATCTATTAGATGGTCAGACTTTTTTGTCAAGACCCGGAACAATCAGTTTGAGGCTCTTCGTGTTCCTAGAACAAGCAGACGCCATTGGGCTACACTAGCACGCGACAGGGATGAACGGAGATATTACTGGCACCCGCTTGAACAAATCAATGAGTAACGGGATGTCAAGTGATCAAGTGATCAAGCACAGCGCCTTGCACGCGGCCACGTGATGTATTCAATATGCCAAACACAGTAGCAAGTCTCACAATGTTACTGGGCCCGCTCGAGCAAATCAATAAACAATGGGAGGACAATGACAGTGACAGTGACCTGCTAGACTATGGCTCACCACCTTCTGGCTGGGATGTTTACATGCAGGGGTCACTGTGGGGGTGCTCACATAGCTTTTAGCTGCAGTGCTCACCAGGGCCCACACCCTGTTTCGTGATGCTCTCCCATACCTGGCCGCAGTGCAGTTTGGAATTACCTGCATCAGTCACTCGGAGGTGAGGGGATCAAGCTCAGCACATACGATGGCACCTGGAACTGCTCTCAGCCTTACACTCACAATGCAGGCACTCTACGCCTCTAAACTGTCCCTGGGACACCCCAATATGCACCTTGGGCGTATCTTACCTCTCAATTAAAATGTGACTTTGTACAGAAAATAAATTTTTATTTCCAAAGAAAATCAAATAACTTTAAGATTAACTTTTGATCAACCTTGGTCCCACAATATAGGGAGAAAGAAAGAGTGGATGGACGAGAGGGGGAGAAGAGAGAGATGAAAAGCAATGGCGGGGAGGGAGCGCTGGGGGGGCAGGTCAGGGAAGTCAGGTACAAAGGTGGTGTTAAGGACTGATTGAACCAAATATCCAAACCACTAATATCACGGTCCTCCCGTTGTTCATCGATTTGCTCGAGCGGGCCCAGTAACGTCTCCATTGGAGACTTTGTTGTTACTGTGTCTGGCATATCGAATACTCTCGGTAGCTTGCCGGGCTCTCCGAGAGGGGCGGAGGAATCGAACTCGGGTCGGCCATGTTGGCCGCTTGTAAGGCAAACGTCCTACCACTGTGCTATCGCTTCAGACCAACACTAATATCATGAGACCCAAACTTTAACAACCGAACTTAGACACCTGTCAAGAGTGCAGGCTGGGGGGTGGGGTGGAGGGATAGGGGAGGGAACCTGGGATTACTGGTGGAGGGAAGCTGACACCAGTGGTGAGGTGGTGGGATTGGTGCTGCAATATTGTATGCCCAAAACTCAACTATGAAGAACTTTCTAAATCATGGTTTAAAGAATTTTTAAAAAATTATAAATTAAACAAAATTACAAAATTAACCTTAGAGCAATGTGGACATGGACTAGAGGAAAATAAAGTTAGGAGTGGAGACACCAGTCAGAAGATCCACAACAGTGGAGTGAGACCCAAATCAGGGCAGGAAATAGTGAAAGGGAAAAGAGCCAAACAGATGGGCTCCATCAGAACCACCTGCATCAGTAAGTGAATCAGAACAACTTGTTATGTAATTTTTTTAAGTGTGATAATATAAAACCAATGATTTTCCATTTACCTTGTACTCAAAAGTGAAGAAAATGCTATTCAAAAAAGTAATACACGTTACTTTAAAACTACACAAGATCAAAAAAAAATACACAACTGTAGACACACACACACACACACACACACAACCTTAGATATATACCCAACAAGAAATGCAAAAGATGAGGCCAGAGAGATATAGTTCAATAGGCAGAGCACAGGTTTTGTATTCAGGAGTCCCAGGTTTGATTCCTGCACCCAGCATGGTTCCCTGAGCACAGGTAGGAGCAATGCCCAGAGCACTGATGGGTATGGCCCCCAATTATTTTTTAGGAAAAGAAACAAAATGTGCAGGATCAACATGCAGAGAAAAACTTCACTGAAGACAGCAGAAGGCTGGCAGCATGGAGACAGAGTTCTCCACCAGAGTGAGCATCAGCCACTTACAGGAGTGTCCAACACCTGGTCCACCCTTCCGACAATCTTCTCCACAAGGTCTTCTGTAAACAATAACTGTTTCGTAGAAATACTCAAAAGTAATATATAAATTCAATACGTGCTTCATTTATATTGTCCGTTTGGGGGCGATTCCTGACCCAGTGCTCAGGGATAACTCCCAGCAGTGCTCGGGGGCTCCTTTAGACAAACATACATTCGAGCCCCTCTTCTAAGTATTCCCAGTCCAGAGTAAACTTAATTTTTAAAAACCTAATTGACTACTATAAAAATAAAAACTGGAACGGGAGAAATAAAACAGGGGTTAAAGTGCTTGTTCTGCATGCAGCTGATTGGTTCAAGGTTCAATCCCCAGCATTGCCAGGAGTAATTCCTGAACAGAGAACCAGGAGTAAGCCCTGAGCATTATCAGGTATACTCCTCCATCTCCCCACCTCACCCCCCAGTCCCCCCCCAAAAAAAAACTAACAGAATGGGAGAAAATAGTGAAAAACAAGTATTTGGTCCAAGTATGCAATTGGAATATATAAATAATTCTTAAAACCCAATTATAAGACCAATTACAATGGACACGGATCTTGAATACATATTTTTTCAAAGATATGCAACTGGTCAATAAGCCCATGAAAGATGCTTAACTCCACTAGTTATAAGGGAAATGCAAATCAAAACCACAATGAGATCTCACTTAACACCTGCTAGGACCTCTCTAACCTAAACAGCAGATAATAGGGGCTGGGAGAGATAATACAGTGGGTAAGGCACCTGCTTTGTATGTGGCTGACCCAGGTTGGAGCCCTAGCATCCCATATGGTGCTGGGACACCACCAGAAGTAATTCCTGAGTGCAGAGCCAGGAATGACTCCTGAGCATCACCAGCTGTGACCCAAAGATAAATAAAGGCAGATAATAAAATTTGGCAACATAAAGACCTCACTTTAACTTCACTTCACTGCATTTCACAGATGGTGCATTACTTTTTGTCTTTTTGTGAAGCCATGCCCAGAGCCAGGAGGACCATACAGTGCAGGGATCAAATCCAGGGTTCTCACATGCCACACATGCACTCTTGCCCTTTGAGCCATCTCCCCGTCCAGATGGAGTGTTTCTTACAAATTGAAGGTGTTTATGCTGCAGGATCAAGTCTATCAGTGCCAAAATGGTAGGTACACAAAGTGTTTCAGAGTCCCTTATAAATGTATTTAAAAAAATTAATTCTAGTGCACATTCGATATACTCTACTTCAGCACAAACATAACTCTCTCATGCACTGGGAAAACCCAAAATTTCTGTGACTTGTTTTATGGCAATATTTTCTTTATTGTGGTGGTCTGGAACCAGACCCACAGTATCTCCTAGGTATATGGAGCAATTAGAATGAACTTTTGTATATTTCTGGTAGGTATGTAAAATGGTGTGTCTGCTTTGGAAAAAACAGCCTAGCATTTCCTGAAACAAAAATAGAGTTGCCAGATGTCCCAACAATTCTACTGAGATATAAAACCAAGAGAAATAAAAACATATGTCTACCCAAAAGTTCATAGCAAAAATATTCATAAATAAAAACATATCCACAATTGTCAATCAACCAATGAATGGGTAGAAAAGGAGCATATCTATATTGTTAAATATTCAGTCCTACTTAACAATATAGATATGCTCCTTCTTTTCTAGCTCTCAAAAAGATACAGTGAAATCCTCACCCCTTGTACCTGTCAAAATAAACTTTGCAGATGCAACCAAGTTAAATGAGGTCACACTGGGACAGGGCGGGCCTTCATCCCCAGTATCACTGGTGTGTTGCTATACAGGGTAGAAGAGACACAAGATGCACTCATACAGACTGGGTGATAACATGAAGAGAGACACTTAGGGAAGAAGCCAGAAGCAGAGGCTGGTGCTATGCAAGGATACCCAGCAACCAATGGAAGGTAGGAAGAGGCAGGAAGGATTTAGCGCACATAACTCTGATGACACCCTGATTTGGACTCCTCTTGCCTCCACAGGGTGGTTTTAAGTCACCCGGTTTGTAGCCCTGTGAAGTAAATATACCACAGGATGTAGTTTTATTCTTAACAAGGACTGAAGTAATGCTACATGCTGCAACTTGGATGAACCTTGAACACTTTATGCTAAGTCAAAGAAGCCAGGCAGCGGTACCACAAAATGAATGCTGCCATTTATACAAAATAGTCAGATCCAGAAGGACAGAAGACTACTGTGGCCAAGGGATGAAGACTGGATGTGTTTCCTTTTAGGATGATTAAAAAAAAATGTAAAGATTGTAGAAAGAGCTACACAACTCTGGCACTGCATACAATTCTGGCACTCACTGAATTGTATGTTTGAAATAACAGGTTGTACGGACTGTGAATAACCTCTCAATAAATCCACTTTAAAACACTACAAGCTGATTCTAAAATTAATCTGGAAAAGTAACTAGTAATAACCAAAAAATTGATTTGTAAAGAATGACCTGTGAGCTGGTAAAGTATATCACTTGTGAAAAATAACAGCAACAATCACCATCAACGAGTATCTACCCTATTAGATAGTAAAGTCACTGTAACTATCCTCCCGTTGCTCATTGATTTGCTCGAGCAGGCCCAGTAACATCTCCATTGTGACAACTGTTACTGTGTTTGGCATATCGAATATGTCATGGGTAGCTTGCCAGGCTCTGCTGTGCGGGCAAGATACTCTCGGTAGCTTGCCGGGCTCTCCGGGAGGGGCGGAGGAATCGAACTCGGGTCAGCCATGTTGGCTACGTGCACGGCAAATGCCCTACCCGCTGTGCTATCGCTCTAGCCCATAGTAAAGTATAATATGTATTTAATTTAGGACATTTTGGTGTTGGTCCAACTAATTAGAAAACCAGGCCATTAAAGAGAAGGTCACATAACAGACTCAGAAATTAGTAGATGACAAGTCTAGTGTTCCACATCAATGGGTTGATAAAGGACTGAATAAGTGAAGTAACACTGTTAAAAAACAACTAGGCATTTACTTCTCCCACTTCCCACCCCCACCCCCACACATGCAAGAATTAAAGAAAAACTCAAACTTAGAAGAGAAACTACTGGAGAAAATGCTGCTCTGTCTCGGGGAAGAATAGAGCTTTTCAACCTCAGCACTACTGACACTTGAGGCCAGAAGCAAGTTAACAGCTACCAGTTATGTTAACCATAATCTACCAGCTGATACCCCTCAAATGGCTCCAGACATTCCAAAAGTCTCTTTAAAGGCAAAGATCTCCCATTTGAAATAATAGTCATAAAAAAAAACCCAAAATATGGCAGACGACTGATCTGTTTAAACATAATTTGGCTATTGGACCACATTCACCAGTGCTTGGGGGTTGGAGGGGACTACTCCTGGGGGGCGCATATCCTCCCCATGGTGCTCAGAGGATCATGCGGTGCTGGGGGACTCAGCCTAACAACTGGCATGCAGAGCATGTTGTACCAGCCCTTTGAGCCATCTCCCCATCCCCTAAAGATAATATTTTAAACTTGGTTCAACACATATCTCACGGTCACGGTCACGGTCACGGTCACCCCATTGTTCATCGATTTGCTCACATTGTGAGACTTGTTACTGTGTTTGGCATATCGAATAAGTCACGGGGAGCTTCCCAGACTTTGCAGTGAGGGCAAGATACTCTCGGTAGCTTGCCGGGCTCTCCGAGAGGGGTGGAGGAATCAAACTCGGGTCGGCCATGTTCGCTGCGTGCAAGGCTAACACCCTACCCGCTGTGCTATCGCTCCAGCCCAACACATATCTTATTTGATTAAAAGATAAACACTTTCAAAAGTCACTAAGCTGGAAATATTCAAATTATATATATGACAAAAGATTGATGTCCTGAATATATAAAACAGCTAAGAAGGCAATTTAATAGAAAAGAGGCATTTCTCAAAAAAAAAAAAGAAATAGTCAAACATCATGAAAAGATACTTGTCTCACTAATACCTGGGGAAAATGCAAATTAAGACACCAAGAATCATTTTCCACCCATAAAACAGGTAAAAATAAATACTGAGAGCAGTGCATATTGAAGAGTGTGGGGAAATGAATTATATACTTTGTGTGGGCAATCTGGCATTAAACGGACACATCCTACCCCCAGGAATTTCACTCCCTTGTCTCTCTGAGAAGTGCTTACATGGTCGATGCAGGTGGGAGAATGTTCTCTGCCTCACTCTGTCCAACACCGAAATCCTGGAAGCAATCCATGGATGCTCACCTATCCTTTAGAGTTAACATGCTGTCAAATTTCCAGAGCAGTTAGAATAAAGTAGAATTCCACATGGTGACAAAGAAATGATTCCAGGAGCTATTTTTATTTATTTGGGGGTGGGCACACGCAGAGATGCTTAGGGGTTACTTCCCCCACATGGTGTGGGAGAACCATGTGGTACCATATGGAGCTTACTTTTAAAAGCATTAAAAGTTGAGTAGCTGAATAGGTACACCACAGATGTATAAAAGATGCCTTTATAAAAGTTCAACAAGAAATTTTACATACATATGTTTTATAATACAAACATTCATTAAGATGTACAGCAAGGTGTTCAGAAAAAAAAATCGCCCTAAACTACTAAAGTTCTTATTTTAGACAAAGAGACTAAAGGCCATGAATATTGACCATATGGTTCACAGAAATAACACAGGAATTAAGACACTTGCCTTGCAAGCAGGAGACCCCAGTTCAATCCTCAACACCACGGAATCCCCTTGAGCAGAGTCAGGAGTAGCCCGAGGACCCACATAATCCCACAAACCCCCGTGATCCATTTTGTTTAAAGTTTTACATAACTTTTTAATTTTTTTTCAAAACTGTACCCATGAACTGTCTAAAATACATTTTCCAACCTCAACGTGACCAAAATTTCACTCCCTGCAACTTCCTAGATTCTGACAATCTAAACTTTCCAGGGCAGCCTTTGCAATACAATTAAGATATATCACTAGATATCTAGACATATGGGTATACATCACCCATATAGGTGTGTGCATAGACATATACACAACACAAACATGATTTAGTGTTTTCACGGCGGAGGGCACACCCGGGAGGGTGTGTATCGGAGAGCGTATCTCTATCTTACAAAGGCAATTTTTTAGGTCTCTCTTCCGATGCACAGGTAATCAATTTCCTAACAAATGAGGACCATGCGACTGGGGGGGTTCGTCCCAGCCCGGGGACGCTCCCCGCGCCAGGTGCCTGGAGCAGCGGCGGCCGGCGGGCGGGCGGGCGGCGCGGCCGGAGAGCGGAGGCGCGGGGTGGTAACAATGGGGGGAGGGGGTGGGCTCCCGGGAATCGAAGGGGGTGCGCGGCGTTACCGGGTGCTGCGGCGACGCCTCCTTCCTCGGCGGCGGGGAACTAGGAGGCCATGGAGAGGTAGCAGGTGCTCCGGGCCGAGGAGAGGCGCGCGCGAGGCGGGCGCCCGCCACCGAGTGACCGAGTGACGGGCCGCCGCCGCGGGGGCTGATGCGCGAGGGGGCGCGCCCCTCATTGCGTGGGCGGGTTGCGAGGGGCTGGGTCCCCAGGGGCCCCCTCCGGAGCTCCCACACCCAGGGGTGGGGGCAACCGCCTCTCCCTCTACCGCCCCCCCCAACGATCCCACTCCTGAATCACTCTATGGGATTCATGATGCCTCCACGCGGGATGCTCTGAATCCAAACCCGCCGCCTGCCCCCACCGCGCCGCACCCCGGCTCATCTCTTACCTGCGAATCCCCCGGCGCCGCTCCGCACACCTGCGGCGCTTCGCCTGGATTCGCTGGAACCTCGGCGGCCACCGGAGCTCAGCAGCTCCGGGATCCGGGAGCCTGGGGGTGGGTGAGTGGGAGGCAGATGCCACTTCCGGTCCCGGGGCGGGCCAGGCGGCCATAACACCCGAGTCGGGATGGGCGCCGCCATCTTGTACGGAAGCCGTTGCTCTCTGCTTTGGCCTTCCCAAGTTTCTCCACTGCTTTGAACCCAAGGATCTCTTAAAATGGGAAGGGCTCATTGGGGAGGAGGGGGGCGATTGTGTTTCCGGGGTGAGGTTTTGTTTGTTTTGGCTTTGGCAAGGAGGAAAACCTCTGCAGCCCCTGGCCACGGCAGTGTGGGACATCTCATTGTCACTGCGAGTTAGGTTGAGTTTCTGCACTGCATTAATTTCTGTAACTGGTCAGTAGTGATGGTAAATTGGAGGAGAGGTACTTCCTTTAAGTAATGTGTGGCTCATCAGCAATATACTTTTAACTTATGGCCATTGTAATCCGTGCCCTGTTAAACAATAGCCACGATATCTGTAGTTTATATATGAAATATTGTCGGTAAAAATGTATCATATATTTTTATAGTAGCAGTCGTTAAGAAAGCAGCAAATGTGTGTTGAATACTGTTGCTTTGTCATGGAATGTGCAAAATAGAAGGGAAATCAGATGAGCATGAGTAATCTATATAAGGGTTAGGGGGACAAGTGTAATAATAGCCATTTTTTGATTGTGTGCTCACAGTGTGCAAGGGACTTTACAAAGTACTTCACATAGGGGCTGGAGCAATAGCACAGCAGGTAGGGCATTTGCCTTGCATACAGCCAGCATCCCATATACTCCCCTGATCACCGCCAGGGGTAATTCCTGAGTACAGAGCCAGCAGTAACCCCTGTGCATCGCGGGGTGTGACCCCCCCCCCAAAAAAGCAAAGTACTTCACATATGTTATAAAATTACCCACGAGGTAGTAGTAGTTCCATTTTTATGATTAATTCCATTTTACATAAACATGGTTAATAAGTTCTCAAGATAACAAGTAGGCTTTGGAACAACAAATCAAACCTTAATATATCTGATTGCAAAGCTTGTTTTCATCCTCTATATTATATTGCCTCAGTTACCAAAACAAAACAAATTTCTAAGTTCCATTAGATAACTACCAATAAGGGGGAAATTTCCAGTACATATAGAGAATGAAATTCCCTGCGTTTTTATCTGCAAGCTTCTGAAACACCTAAACAACATCAATAAAAGGTTGAGCTGGAGAGATTGTCTAGGTATTAAGACACTTGCCTTCCTGCCAATTGTGATCCCAGAACCAGGAATAAGCCCTGACCACATCCAGGAGAGGCCCGAAAACCAAACTAATTTTTAAGGAAATAGATTAAAATAACAGGTTATTAACACTTGAAGGAGCCCAAGATGAAATGACTGGTCCATAAACCCCATGTGGGGCAATGAGCTGGTCCATAAAACCCATGTCTGCATAGAGAATTTGCAGTAAATTTATCCATACTTCACTGTTATCTTAGCCTATCCAAGATGTAATAACTTATGATAGGTTGGTTGGCTTATAAATATCAGAAATGTATTTCTCATAGTTGTGGAGACTTGGAAGTCCATGATGAAGCTGATGAAAGATTTATTGTCTGGTGAGTGTGCCCATTTTCCTGTTTCTAGACAGCATATTTTCACTGTTTTCTCAGAAAGTACAGAGGCATGAATCACTCTGATGTGTCTATTGTAAAGGCATTAATCCCATTCATAGGAACGCCACTTTCTTTTTTTTTAAATTTTCTCATTAGTGAATCACCATAGGTACAGTCACAGACTTACAAGCTTTTGTGCTTGTGTTTTAGTCATATAATGATCGAGTTCCCATCCCTCCACCAGTGCCCATTTTCCACCACCAATGATCCCAGCATCCCTCCCGCCATCCCCACTCCATAGTACTGTAGCACTGTTCATCTATTTGCTCGAGCAGGCACCAGTAACGTCTCCATTGTGAGACTTGTTGTTACTGTTTTTGCATATCGAATTCATCATGGGTAGTTTATCAGGCTCTGCTACAGAGGTGGGATACTCTTGGTAGCTTGCCGGGCTCTCTGAGAGGGATGGAGGAATCGAACCCGGGTTGGCCTCATGCAAGGCAAACAACCTACCCACTGTGGTATTGCTCCAGCCCTTAAAACTCCATATATTTAGAAATTTAAAAAATCTTAAAATTTACAGATGATATCACAATGGAAATTTTTAATATTGTATTTAAGTGATAATACAAGTATTGTATATGAAAATTTATAGGATATAGATATGTTCATAGCCTAACATGATTTTATTCTAGAAAATAAGTTTTAAAATTATGAGTTACCAGTTTAATATATTTGAAACAATAAGGTATAAGTCTAAGCTAGTGGAAGATCAGAGGATAAATTAATAAAATAGAATATGTTGTAAAAATAGGCTGGGAATGTACCTGAGTGGTAGAGGGCTCACCTTACATGTATGTATGAAACTTTGGGTTCAATCCTGGTATGGAAAAATAAAAAATCTGTAAGACTGAGCAAGGTAAAAGAGAAATAAAGGAAATAACTTATATTAGAACAAAATGGCATAAAATATAGATTTAAGAAACTGAAAAATATGAAGCCAAAGAGATAGTACAATGGATAGGGCACTCGCCTTGCACATGGCTGACCTGGGTTCAATCCCCAGCATCCCATATGGTCTTCTGAACCCCATCAGGATTAATTCCTGAGTACAGAGACCAGGAGTATGTCCTGAGCATTGCTGAATATGGTCTCCCTGCCACACTCCCCCACTTGATTACTTGATCACTTGACATCCTGTTACTCATCGATCTGCTCTAGCAGGTGCCAGCAATGTCTCCGTTCATCCCTGTCACATGCTCATGTAACCCAATGGCACCTGCTTATTCTAGGAACACAAAGAGTCTCAAACCAATCGTTCAGGGTCTTGACGAAGAAGTCTGACCATCTCATAGGTGGCGGCCACGCGATCTTTTGACATCCCGTGGAATCCAGTCGGTAATGGCTCTAGTCCAGCGGTCGTCTCCAAATCTCATTACATGTCCAGCCCATTTGATTTTCAACACCTTGGCGAACAAGACAGCATCCCTGGTTCTTGACCATTGACTAACATCGGAACTCCAGATTCTTTCTCTCATTTGAGTGAAGCGTGATACTCCAAGCATAGCTCTTTCGATTTCTCTTTTTGGAGACCCGAATAGCGTTCTTATCCTGCTTTTTGTAGGGCCCAGGTCTCTGAGGTGTATGCTAATGCAGGAAAAACAGTGGAATCAAAGAGATGTGCCTGGAGCCGGAGGTTCTTTGTCCTTTTAGCTATTTCTTTGACGTTCTTGAAGGCGTTCCAAGCGGCTCTCTTCCTCCTGCACAACTCAGGTACCAGGTTATTCGTCATGTTGACTTCTCGACCTAGGTACACATAACTGTTGCATTTGGAGATGTTCGTCCCGTTGAGAGTGAATGGAATGTCAGAAACGAGACCATTTCTCATAAACATTGTCTTCATTAGATTCAGCTGTAGTCCGACCTTTCCACACACAGTTAAAGTCGGTCAGCATTTGTGCCTCTTGGCTGATGTTTGGTGTTATAAGAACGATGTCATCAGTGAAGCGGAGGTGGTGTAGTTGCTGACCATCTATCTTCACTCCCATTCCTTCCCATTCCAGTCATCGCATGATGTTCTTGAGGGTGGCACTGAAGAGTTTTGGTGAAATGGCATCACCCTGCTGAACCCCTCTCTTGACATCAATGATCACCTCCCTGTAGAATGGTGAGATCCTGGTAGTGAATCCGCAATACAGCTCACGGAGGATCCTGATGTATTGACTTTGAACGCCCTTTTTGACTAGGGCCTCGATGTCTGCCTCCGTCTCAATAGAATCAAAGGCCTTCTTTAAATCGATGAACGTTAGACAGAGCGGCATCTTGATCTCCTGAGAAACCTCAATGAGCTTTCACACATCCCCAAGTCCAAAAAAAATTTAAAAAATACAAAAGAGAAACCGTAAAACATGACAAATAACTTTATGACCACCCCTAGAAATTGATTAGGGAACTGGAAAGATAGTACAATGGGTAAGATATTTGCCTTGCATTTGACCATCCTGAGTCTGATCCTCGGCACCCCATATGTTCCCCTGAACCCCACCAGGAGTGATTCCCTGAGCACAGAGCCAGAAGTAAGCCCTGAGCACCACTGAGTGTGGCTAAAACAAACAAAAACGTGTGCTAGTCTTGCTTGTGGCTGACCCTGCTTTGACTTCAGCACCAAATATAGTCCCCCCAGGCACCACTAAGAGAGATCCCTGAGCAAGGAACCAAGAGTATGCCCTAAACAATGCCTGCTGTGCTCTCCCCCACTTCCCCCCAAAATTTGTTTTTTAAAGCAGTCAAGGGATCACAGAGATAACTCAGATTGCTATCATGCACATGTTTGCATTCAGGAGGTCTGGGTTCAATCTCAGCATTACATTGCCCTCGGCACCTCTTGGAGTAAAACTGGGAGTTACCCCTGAGTTGCTGGGTGTGGCCCAAAGGACTTTTAAAATGTTAAATAAATAAATAAAAACAGGCAAAAGATCTGAACTGGCATCTCACTAACAAAGACATGTGATATCCAAACAAGCATACAGATAGGTGTCCAACATCACATGTCATTAGGGAATTGTAAATTAAAATACTTGCGAGATCTCAATGTCTTCTTAATAAAATGACTTGAACCCAGACTGAAGAGACAGGTTGCTGGGGCATATGCTTTGCATGTAGGATAGCCAGTTTTGATCCCAGCACCACATGGCCCCCTGCACACCACCCAGAGCAACCCTTTAGAACAAAGCTGGGGGCAGCCTTTGAGATCTCCGGGTGTGGCCCCAATAAGTTAATCAATTAAGTAAGCTTAATTTTATCCAGACAATGGCAATATCAAATGATGAGAATATGAAGCAACATGAATTCCTTTCTTCTTTCTCTTTCTCTCTCCTTCTTTCTCTCGTTCTTTCTTCTTTCTTCCTTTCTTTCTTGCAAAAGGGAATG